CTTTCATTCGTTGCAGAAATCCATTGTTGTTTTGTAGTATCAAGTGTGGTAATAAAAGGGCTTCCTTGGGATATCGTTCCACCAATTTGAACGATCGACCTATTGAGATGTGCATCAATGCATACTGATGCTCCAGTTTGATTTATTAAACCTGGAAGTGAGGAAAGATCTGTCCAAGGCATTGAAGAAATATTTAAAGTAAAAGGAATTGAAACATTGAGATAGAATAATGCGTCACTGACATAATGACTATTGGTATGGCTACCATCACTGCCATCATAAAACCATCTAACCAAAAAGTAAACTTTGTCATCAATAAGAATCGCATTATGTTCTGCTCTTGATTGAGGAACAAATGCATAAATGCATTTAGATAAATTAATAATATAAAAATTAAGAGCAGTTAATGTCAAGATATATTTTATGAATTTCATAATGAAAATGAACATGCATTATCAGAAATTTAAAAATTCTTTGTTATTTATATTGAAATGAACTTCATTTCCTGGAACTTATTTTGTCAATCTTCCAAATATTATTGAGCATAAAGTTTTTTTTATCAATCCATTTAGAGTGTCACTATTTTGCACCTATACTTATTTATACATTATACGTATAGATTGTTATTTGACCTTTTATAGATCGATAGTAGCATTGCGAAAATAATAATGAAGTTGAAAGTAGCATGTGTGTATTACAGTATAACGCATATGATAAGAAGCACAAAGAATTACTGTCATAAATTGATAAATAAATTAAGAAATGATACAGTAGATATTTGGTGTTTTTGAAAGGAATCATTACATGATAGATAGAATGACACATTCACTTTGGAAGAAGAAACTCAAATATGACAAGAATGTATAAAAGAAATTGAATGTTACGTTAGCAAAGCTTTAAAACTTTGTGATTTCATTTTTAAAGTCATTTATTTTATTTTCCCAATATCTATTTTGTTTATATTCAAATACACAAAGAACATAGCAACAGCCGATCAGATTTAGTGTAACACAAGGTTTTAATTTTTCCTTAAATTTATGTTGCAGAATTTTTGAAGGCATTATGCTGCTATAGTTGAGTTTATTCTCATGAAATGTGCTGTATCACGAAACACAGTAACATTGTTTTGATTATCTGTAAAGATTATTAATTTTTAAAATTATAAATATTTAGATCAACATTAAGTGATTAATTGTACATGACTCAAAATGCATGTTTTGCATTTCGCTATGGAAAGTGCTTCTTTTTTATTTATATTCCTGGATATACTGATAACGGAATGTATAATATACTGGGATTTTGTGTAAAGTTAAATATAATAAACCAATTTTCATAAAACTTTGTCTGACATGTCATGCCTTTACATTTCATAATTATTAGTAAACCTTGTGTTATAATCAATTGAAAAACGTAAAAATAGTCTAATGAAACTGGGTCTTGTACAAAATAAACAAGTAAAAACTTCGTAAGACGCCTGTAATAAATCAAAGAAAATACCGTGGCATCCACTTCTGCGCTTACCGTATCTTTCCGACATGTATACCGTGTATCCCATGCTCAAATACCTATAGCTTTTAATCTATAATAAAAATATATACATAAATTCTGACCAATTTTAATTAATAACTTAAAGTAGATTATTCTTAAACCGATGTGCAGGCGAATTAGCCTGCAAACCTTTAAACAAATAATTTTTGCTATCATAACTTACATTAATCATAAAAGAATAATATCATCACAGTCGGATTGCTTGGATAGAGCTTTTAACCAATGCCATTTTTTTAAGTGCACATTGCCTTATTTTTCTTTGGGACACTTGAAGAACAAGGAACCCATTGATCATCACATCACGTGAAATCATGCAATTACGTCATTTGTTTACTAGCACTAAACAA